GACATTCTCACCCACATTGCTCAGTCCCTGGCCACATGTGAAAAGACATGAAAGCAGGCAGGTATTCAACATGTATCTCAAGCTTCTCTTTCTTTTTTTTCACACAAGTACTTCAGCTAACAACGAACTGAAACATCACAAATACCTCAGAGAGAGGCTGTTCAGAAAGAAATTTGTACATCATTTGTACTATTCATCACTTCAAGACTGCATTTAAAGACACAAAAGATGGAATTCTTGGCATGGGATGAAGACAGCAGTTAATGTAGCCAGAAAGATTCCACAACAGCAGATTTTTTTTTCACCCAGCTTTGATTGCAACCAGCCAGATAAAATATAAACACTTAAACACCCTTCAGCAGTAGCTGAAGAAACTGCAGCACACACTAGTTTAGTCCAAGCACACTGCGCTGTGGTAATACTAAAACACTGAACTGTACCATTTAATCATGGGGGGGGGTTGCCATTCTAAGGTAAACATAGTCATGCAAAAAGTCATTTTCCAATGGAATATACTGCTGTGAGTCGTGCTTTGCAAAGGAAAAAAAATGGATATGAGAGGATTACGAAAGGCTGATTTTTCATAAAGTTGGACAAAGTTATTAAGTAATCAAAAAGAGTTTAGATATTCATCAGTCCCGGGTTACTGACTGTTTAGTTCTGTGGCAACTCTTCCTACAAGTGGACTTCCAGCTAACATGAGTGAAAAAGGCACAAAACAGAACATTCAGTGATGTCAAAAATAAGCCCAGAGTAACAGCTGAGGCTTAACTACAGAAGAAAAATCACTGTACTCTTGAAGTTTGCCAAACAGCACCTTGACAGCCCACAACACCACTGGGAAAATGCTTTCTTGACTCATGATACTAAGGTCCTCCTGAAGGTGAAGTACACCGGAAGCAGTATCACTAGTTGAGGCAGTTTTGCGGCCTCTAGGCTTGGACAACTCTTCATTGACATGCAGAGATTTGTCTCTGCTCAACTTTTAGGAATTCAACTCGGCTTTCATGAATTGGTCTGTGAAACGTTATAGGATGCTGTCAGAACAATGGAGCAATTTACAGCATGGAGAGTTTCCTTATGAAGGTATGAAATAGATTATTAAGTAAAGTATAGTTTTAGTGATATTACTAACATCTTAATTGGTCAAATATAAACAAGATTTTACATGCACTTGTGAAGACCATGTATATCATGGTGGTCTTGAATATGGAGTGACTGAAATGCACGTGTTTTTTCTCAAAAAACAATTATTTTGGTTCTTTCATAGATTTATTGTGGGTATTCTGGAAATGTGGCAAAACCTACTGGGTCAAAAAAAAAATACAGCATTGCTAATATTTGGTTAGTTATTTGGTCTAAAACCTTAATTGTAGCCTGTTCTATTTCTTTACCACTTTTGATGTGTGTTTGGAGTCACTGTCTAGTTGGAACATCCAGCTGCGTCCAAGACCTAACCATCTAGCTGATGATTATAAGTTTTCTTGAATACTGTGGAGGTGTTTCTTCTTCTTCAGTATTCCATTTGCTTTGTGTCAACACCAGCTTCACCATCAGCAAAACAGCCACAGAGCATTATACTGGCACCACCATGCTTGATGGTATGCATGGCGTTCTTGGGGTTAAGGACCTTCTCTCCAGTCATTGTGGCCAAATAGCAAAATTTTGGTTTAATTTGACCACAGAAGTGATCAAAGATACAACCATATCTTAGCATTGCTGTATGTATATTTCTGACCCAGCAAATACTACATATTTCCAGAAGACGTATTGTAAATAAACGATTAAATACGGAACCACAGTGCATGATTGTTTATTTTTTGTGACAAACACACGTGTTTCAATGATTTTATTATAGAAAATTCAGAATTACAGGAGTCAGCGTAAACTCAAGACTCCCACAACATACACGGTCCTTATAAGTGTTGTACCTTTTGTTCACAACTGTAAGGTCCTGGATTGACATTAAGGGCTTTTTGGTCTGACATCTTCAGCCGTCATTATCAGCAGAGGCAATGAATTTCTAAGAATATTATCAATTTACGCTACAAGACAATGTCAGAGTGGTTGTCTAGTTTAGTTGAAGTTGGGTAACTCAACATGACAATGACTCTGAGCATCCTAAGTTCCTAACCCAACTGAGATGCTATGGAATGACTTCAGAGAGACTTTCACAGCAGACATCCCAAGAATTTGGCTGAGCTTTAGCAGAGTTCATCTGAAAAATAGTTCCTGCAGAACGTTGTGCAGGTCTAATCTGCAGCGACTGGAAACACTTACTTGAGGTTATTGCTGTCAGAAGAGGTTTGCCCAGTTATTAAGTCCAAGGGTTCATCTACTTTTTTCACCAGCACTGTAAATGTTTAATGGGTGCATTCAATAAATGCACAAAAGGTTTTAAACTATTCATGTGGTACTTGATTCAGCACATTGTGTTTGTCTACACTTGTGGCACCCGTGATGAAGATCAGCTCACATTTTACAACTAAATAAGGCTGAAAATGGAGTCATTCCACAGGGCTCATTGACTTTTCTTGCCACTATAGCTGTCTGCACAAATGAGCAATCATTTATCATTTTTCAAGGAAACAGTGCCGACAGCCCTAACTTCCCGTTGACCCACTATTGTTGGCATGCTCTTTCTTTATAATCATCAGCCAGGCTGTGTATATATTTGGACTTCTTGAAAATATCATCAACACATGAAACTTCCTCGGCTGTTAAAATGAGGTGAGACAATAGACGGTTCTAGTTTTATGCCACATATAAATGGAGACAGGATGTTCTTCTGGGAACTAATTATTATAAGTGACATAGAGCATAAAGAATTGATTGAACATTCTCATTTATTTTGCCACCTGAGTCTCATTTTCTCACAGTCCTAAATGTGAAGGTACAGACATTTTTAATTTAGTCTGGTTTCTATACTAACCAAATTTTGTGCAAAGTGTTGCACACTCTGCAAATCATCATTTGCATGTGTGGCATCTGTAAATGAGGCCCTGATAAGCTGACTTTTCAACAGCTTCCATTTGAATAAGTACTGTGTAGCTTGGTACATATGCTATTTTAACACTTTTGCTATGTTATATAATTCTTCTACATGTTTAAATCAACATTTCAATTGCAAATGAAATTGTTTAGTGCAAGTGAATAAAAAATATTCATGCTGAATAGATTAATTACATTGCATTAGGATTTACTAGAATTCTACTGTATAATTATGCAAATGACTAAAAAAACATTCTTACTACATTATAATCAGGGTCAAACAAGAAAGAAAATATGCTCCATTATGAAAGTAATATTGCAATGAAAGGGTGGCCATAGCCCTCAGGCTGCAGCTCTAAATATCGTGCTTCTCATAGTTTTGAGAAGAATAACTGATTTAAATGTCATTAAGTAATTGGATTTTTTTTTCCTGTCTGGATTCGCATTTGTATTAAAGGCTGTAGCAGTAGAATAAACGCCTTATCTAATATAGTTTCATCCCCATCAAATACTGCTGGATGACAGAACCTCCTGCCTCCTACGCTTAGAAATTCCCCTGGTTCTGGATTGCTGAACATAATCGACCACAGAACTGCACAGCATTGTGCTTAGTGAGGGAGATTTAATGCGATGACAGGTGTTTGAAAAGAGTTGTTTTCACCGCTGTTGATCAATTTGATAGACAATACAGATGTCGGATAATGGATGGATCCCTTGGGTATGCCAACATCAGTGCAAAGTATTACGAAAAACTGCTGCACTCATTCCACTGGTGAATCTTGCTGTGTGATTCTGCAAACACTGCGCCCTGTAAATACACATCATTCAGTGTTTAAGCACAATACATCTCTCTTTGTTTAGGATCAGATGCACATTCTGCTGAGCCTCTCATTCAAATGCTGTGATTCTAAGCCATTCCCTCCGGATCTTTCGGTAATGAAGACATACTTAGTGCTGCACAGATACTGGAACAATATTGACGCTGCTGTAACGACAACTGTAATTTCAAAACTGAAGACTGCTGTGATTTCAAACCAGAAAGAGAACTGTTTCAAACAGCTACTCCTGCAAAGTTTTTTTTTTTTTTCTTTCTTCTTTGCTGTGCCTAAGGTTGCTTAGTGTATGGGAAACAAAATTGTTAACTGAATAAACAACAATTTTTTGGCCACAGGTGTGCAGCAGAACAAAAATTTAAAATCCTTATCTGGTACATTGTCATCTTATAAAGTTGCCATGCCCAATTTTATACCAATTTATGCTAGCAGACGCAATATTAGCATTATCTTGAAATTTTTAGACAATTAATGAATTGTCCACGAATTAGCTCATTTTATTTGGTGTATGTTCACCACCCAGTCACTAACTCTGTCAGAGGTTTGGGCTTCATAGTAGTATTTTTTAAAATAATTTTTGGCCCCTTTCAAGGTCAGTCGGCTCTAATATTGTTTGTCATTCTAGATTCCATCGTACCTGTCATGTCAAAAGACTTGTACTCAACTTGAGTACAAGTCCTGCTCTTCTTTTTGATCAGTACTCTGCCCTCATTTATCCTATTCAGCTGCTCCCTGACTCCCAGCTTCAAGCATTTGGATTTCATTTGGTTAAACATTTGGCCTTTTCAGACAAAGGAACTCTTTGCACATCTATGCGGTACAGAAGGCATTTTTGAAAGTTAGACAGTGTTTGGTATTTGTGTTGTGAATATGCCTTTTTTTTTTTTTACACCAAAGACATTTTCTCATGACAGCATTAGAAACACAGACCTAAGTTGCAAAAAGCTTCAAATAAACCCAATACTTAATTCACCAATTACCTGCTGTAATTTTTGACATGTTAACAATTTCCACAAAACATTGCCTACATCGACCTGTCCAGGGTGTCCCCTGCCTTCGTCCTAAGTTAGCTGGGATAGGCTCCAGTCCCCTGTGACCCCAGTGAGGATTAAGTGGTATATAGATAATGGATGGATGGATGGACATTCCTAAAAAAAAAAAAATGCAAGTATTTACCTGTAAATCAGAACCTCATCATCGGAGCAGTTGTATTGGAGCTGGTACATCTTTACTTTGGGCGCCGACTTGCTGACCGTCCATTTGACCAATGCTGAAACAGCCGTCACCTCGGACACGGACACCGCCCTCTCTGGCTGACTCTTGGGAGTCCCCTTGCTAATCCTGGTGGAGCCGGTGATGTCAGAGAGCCTTGACTTTGGCTGTGCTGGCTGCCCAGTGCCATTGCTGAGATGGGGGAGCTGGACGATGGACACCTCCACCGAAGCAGCGGACTCCCCAGCCACGTTAGCGGCAATGCAGGTGAAGGTGCCATAGTCCTTGGAGGTGGTGATGGTGATACTCAGGGTTCCATTGCTAAACACTGCAGTACGGGAGGAGTTTCCAAGCAACCGATCATCAGGTGAGATCCAGTGGATAGTAGGGGCAGGGTCTCCAGTCGCTTCGCACCGTAGACTGGCTGTCTGGCCCTCCAAAACCAACATCCTGTGGGTGTGCTGGGTAATTAGCGGTGGCTGACATAGAAACTCTTCCTCTTTTACATTCCAGAAGTAACGACCCTTCAGGGCAGGTGGAGAAGCACAAGTCTCTAAGTCGTCGTCTCTCTCAAGCCTGCGCAGCCACAGCATCTCACAGTTACAGTGCAGCGGGTTCCCCCCCAGGCTTAGGGATAGCTGGGGGGCATATGGTGTGGTCAGGATCATTGAATCTTGGGCTCGGGCAAAGATGGGGTCTGGGGGTAGCTTCTGCAAGCGGTTTGACGTCAGATCCAGTCTCGCCAGCCTTTCCAGGTCAGTAAAGGTGCCCTCCGGAATAAAATCCAACAGGTTGTGGTCCACACTGAGTTGGTGCAAGTTAATCATCTGTCGGACTGAGTCCCAGGGCAGAGACATCAGGTTGTTGTAAGAAAGATCTAGGTCCTCCAAGGCAGGTGCCAGGTCTTCAAAGGCCTTCTCATGGATGCGTCCCAGTTGATTGTTGTTGACAATTAGGTGCTGCAGGTTGACTAAGCCTCGCAAATCATCAGGACCAAGCTCCATTAGGCGGTTGTTGTCCAGATGAAGTGAGCGCAGCGTTTCCAGGTCACCAAAGGAGAAGGGCTGAATGTAGCTGATGGTGTTCCTAGAGAGGGTCAGGTCCACCAGGTCAGTCATGTTGGCAAAGTCCTGCTGTGTGATTCGGAGGATGTAGTTACCTCCCAGCCGGAGCTCCACCGTGCTGCGGTCGATGTCTGGAGGCACAAAAAGAAGGCCTTTGGAGGGACATAATGTCCCCAGAGACTCGGAGAGATTCTGGCATGAACAGTACTTGGGGCATGCATGGGTGGTCATCACTGTGGCTCCCAGGACCAGTAGGCAGCAGATGATGTGGTCCATGGTAAGAGTCATACATATGAACCTGTATGAGAAACAGAAAAACAAAAACAGATTAGTTCAAGGTAAAATTTAAAAACATCATCATCAACTCAACAGGCCCCTCAGAAGGACCTCAAACACACAAAGGGGCACAGACGGGTTTAAAAATCTGAGAGGGAGCCACAGGCCCAACAAAAGTCTTAAAATAATTTCCCAAGAACATCTGTTAAATTGGATCACTTTAAACTTCTGTCTGCCTCATTTGAAATCTTTATCTGATGCCCACAGGAATCATTAAACTTTTATCTTGTCTTCCAAGTTCCTGTGGCAGCCTCACAGGGTAATGTGAATCTGCCTTAAGTTTTAAGCAATCTATGTTGGATTTGGCCCAGAGGATGAATCTTTACCGCTTAGGTTAGAGATTCCCCTCGGACCATCTTAAGGTGTAGGGATCTGACAAGACTTTGGTCCGGCTCAAACTCTGCCATCACAGCCGTGGGCAAACAACGTTTTGATCCTTGACTTTGACATTTTGCTTATGGGCGTGAATTAGACATGATAGAGGAGAATCTGTAAAGGGAGGAAGAGGAGAGAGAAAAGAGTTGGTGATAGTAGGAATAAACTTTTTTAAAGGTGCATTACAGCTTGGTTCTAATATGAAACTTTATTTTATCATAAACTATGGGTATTTAGCATGGTGTCCATGCAATTTTAGGTTGATATACTGTCAAAAAAGATAAAATACTTTGAAATAATAAAAAAAGCCATTTTTCATGGCAATGTAATAGAGCTATTACAGAGAAAAGCCTTACATTTTCACTGTTTTTTCTCACCATTCTCACAATACCACTGAACATTTTGAGAGAAAACTACTGAAAACTACAAGACAGGTCAGAGATGGTTGAGCAGAAAATTGATCTATACATTTGATCATTTGAGATGCAATGACCCATTTATTTACCAAACTAAGAGCTAACATTTAGGAAAATGGTTAAACCATTACAACTAGCAACTGACAGGACAAGAAGCACCAACATATGAACATACTGGTTGCAGACAACACAAAAAAGTTTTGCCTGACCAGTTTATAATCGTACCCATTCCTATTGTTTTGTCTGCCAAACAAGGTGTGTCTGATGGCCTTTTTGGTGGTCTGACTGACTGCATTTATTGACCCATCGAATTGATAGAAATGAATGTGTTTAAGTTCAAGACAGTGACCGTTTAAAACAGATGGTAATACACTTACAGTAGATTTAGGAATAGCTTTGTGCTTTTTGAAAACTCTCAGAATTTCAATGACATCCATGTTTCAGTTGTAGGATCCAGATACAAAAAACACACTAAATCTCTGTTAAATTACTAAAAGTGAGTACACAGGTATAATTGGCATTGAGTGTTAGTTTATATGAAGGCAGTGATCCCCATCTGTGGGAAAAATTTGGATGCTACTATTTGCCTGGTAGCCGAGCAGCTGGTGGTGAAGCACGCCTGAAGCGAGATGCAAGTGTTTTTTGAAGTAACACTTCATTATTTTGACTTGAATTTTATTACTGCAATTAGGAATGGATAGAATGTTGGCCACAGCTATGAAGCACTATCTGAGTTGTGATAGCTCCCATTAGAAATAAAACACTTCGACCCTGATATTTTATCCATCCATCCATTATCCATACACCGCCTAATCCTTGCGAGGGTCGCGGGAGGGCTGGAGCCTATCCCAGCTGACTTAGGGTGAAGGCAGGGGACACCCTGGACAGGTCGCTAGTCTATCACAGGGCTACACTTAGAGACAGACAACCAAGCACACTCACATTCACACCTACGGACAACTTAGAATCACCAATTAACCTCAACATGTTTTTGGACTTGTGGAAGGAAGACGGAGAGAAACCGCGCTGCACGGGGAGAACGCAGAAAGATCCCGGTGCCCCCATCGGGACGCGAACCGGCAACCTTCTTGCTGCGAGGCAACAGTGCTACCAACTGTGCCACCTTGCAGCCCCCTGAAATTTTATTCAAATCAACATACGGTCCATTGTCAAAGCCGTTCATCTTTGTGTTTTTCTTGTACGGTTTGTTTCATAATGGCGCTTGTCAGTTATCGACCCCAGGAGGACACTAAAACGGTCTCTGTGTGGGAAATCACGTGACCTGGGATAATTTTTCTGGGTGGATAGAGCACTCAGGTGTAGATAATGCTGTAATCATAATGCAGTCATATGATCAGGAAACATGGTGCAATAACTCAAGTGCAGAGCATGAGACAGCGGGTGCTCAGAGACATGGCGCGAGCTGTAATAGTGGCCTGCCGGGGGAACTGTGGTGATAAGCGGTATTTTTATGGGGTGGCCATAAATTAGCATATCTCAGTGGTCAAATAAAACAGGACCTCAAGTGCAAACCACTCATCCTGTCCCAGTACACGCAATGTTGTCTCCTCTTTTGTTGCATTACTTCAGAGAGATGCTTACAGTTGTGTTTTCATTCTCTTTCCTTTACATGTGATAATCTCCCTGACATACATTGCAGTCTAATCATTCCTGATAAAAACAACCAAAAATAGAAAAGATTCCAAATGGATTCAGAGCACCGCTGTGCACATTTGCACATCATTTCATGCACAGTGTCATTATACAATATTATTATACAGACAACAACAAACATACAGATAAACATTATAACATAAAATATGGAATGCCTCCCAATGTAAACTGAGATTATCCTCTTTCTCCTTGCTGGCTCACTCCCACACATGGATACACACATCTACATCTGTGCAGTACAAATATACTCTCACAGACGGCTGCACACGCCCACATTCCCATGTCCAAACACCCGACACACCACTGCATAACCAAATATGTTCTGATGAATCATATCTCCGCGCTGAGTTTACCTATCTCCCAGCACCAGCTTTCAACCTTCAGCACAAGGTTTTTCTGCTGCGCAAACTGTCACCCGGCTTGAAGTGATGGAAACGCTGATGGTCATAATGACGACGTTGACTTAGTTCTTACTTCAGTTTAACAGCTGGAAGGATGGTTAGGCTTCGCTGTGTGGGCTAAAACGCACAAAAAACGAGTGCGAAGACAGTATGAACAGCAAGTATTTAACATGTTTTCAATAGAGCAAAAATGGATTGAACATTTGGTGGAATTAGTATGTGGCGGTATGTAATATGTGACGAATCTGACTCAGCTGCAGAGAGACGTTTATTTAATTGGGGCTTATGTAAGGCACAAACTGATAATTTGCTCTGTTTTGACACGAAAACTCCACGTCGGCCCATTGCCTTGATAAATTCCACATTTTTACAGCAAAAAAATAGTGCAGAAAAACAAAGTCACATCACAGAAGTAACTTTGTTTTGCAGATTATTTTTTGTGGATCTACAAAGTAATGCGAGCACCAACACTTTCTGCAGATGTTTCGCATTAAAAGCCCCACAGTTGTTCAGAGGGAACAATCTCCCGCTTCCTTAACAGTGTATTAATTTAAAATCTATGCATTTCAGCTGAGAGGAGCTGAGTGGGGAGTCTGACCCGACTGTGTTGTTTTACTCACGGAGTTAGAGCTGTGGAAATAAACATTACGCTAAATTTACCATCAGTGAACAAGTAGGTAATGTGACCCTCTGTGTGTTTTTTTTTTTTTTTGTTTACTTGGTATTTACCGGTGACCTCCTAACATTTGTTAATGCTGAAAAGCTCCCTTTTCTTTAACCTTACCTTCTTTTTTAGAATTCACCTAAGGTGGAAACTGGTCTATTTACCTGAGTTTTCTGTAATCCTGCCTGCTGTGAGTGAGATACATGCGCAACAAAAAAAGGCCTTGAGAAAGAGAAAGATCCACTAAAATCTTTGACTATTGAGCAACAATGCAAAGCTTCATCAACTGATACTATCTCTTCTAATCAATATTTGATCAACAGAGTGATATATAGCAGAAAAATGACAGATAATTATCCAAGCAAGGACCCCAGAGTGCCTGAAACTTCATGTGCTGCTGATTAGTTATTTTGCCTCAAACTCCAGCCCAGAATATGGTACATTGCAAATGACCTGCAAAGTCCTTTTAGAATGTGCACACAGAGCCTGCGGAACACAAATGGAAGCGTTCCATCACCGAGAGCAGAGCAGCCCACCGAGAAGGAGTGTTTAGTAAATCATCCGGTCAAAGTCAAGGGCGCTGTGCGAAGGATGGATGGCGCGGAGGTCAGGGAGTTAGCAAAACGAGATCCCTCCTGACAAGTCGAGTGTGGAAGCCATGCAGGTGGCTTGCTCATATGTTGAGCAGAGTCCGGACAGCAGTAATCAGGGGAAGGCCTTGACGTGAACACTCATCATGGCACCTGACAGACGCTGCTCTGCCGACCCCAGGGGCCGCCGGGCTCCGAGCCTTCACACCCCGATTGGTGTGGGGGTGGACGGCCGTGGAATCATTTCACAGTGAACACTTATCTGCACACAGGCAGGCCCATACGGTTACTGCAGATAGACCTGGAAATGCAGGGCTCAGCGTTGTCATGATAACCACAATTTCAATACTACTTCCATATAGTTATGAAAGATTGAAGTCAATACAGAATCTCCCGAACATACGCGGCTGTCACCGACTGTGTTGTGCGAGTTGAAATTCCATTTCAGCCTGAGCTCTGGAGGGTACAGAGTCTGCACAGGCAGCACCTGAGTTTGAATAGCAAAGAGAAAAAGAAAAAGTCTGCAGTCTGTGTCCTGACAACACTGTAGCACTCAACAAAAAAAAAAATCATCCAATGGAAAAAAAAAATCCAAAGGCTGAAAAATGGTTCCCCAACGAACTGGAACCCAGTGCATCTATACTGGACTAATGCACTGTTACCAGCACATAAAGACACACACTGAGACTACATATCCAAAGCTCGTGCAAGGAGAGCTGCAAAAGATACGTTTGTGTCTCAGACTGCTTCATCACCTGCTGCCTGCTCATGACTGCAGGAGTCTGGTATCATTAAACTGTAGAGATAATCTAATGTAGCATTTCAATCGAAGTTTGAAGATA